CTGGGATTACGTGGCGAATCTCAGTATTTAGTGTTGGAGCCTTTGCCGTATGTAAATTCTGCGGAACCGGGTATTTCTTTAATAATGCTTCTCTTGATTCCTTGGATAGGCCGTTGGAAAATATGGGCGACCATTTTTCATCAATTAGATTATGTACTGGAGCACCCATTGTCTTATCAGTATTATCATCTCCTAGTAGGTCCACTTTGAAATCAGGGACCAAGTTCTCAGGTTCGCAATCCGAAGTCTCCATCACGTCTGGTCCTACGGGTGTAGTAAAGGACACAGCGCGAGAGCCCTGAGAGGTGGATGGAATCTCCTGCGTCTCAACTGCCGAATTACTCTGCTGGATAACCTCTGGAAGCGAAAAGAGATGGATTAGCGACTCTATCCTGCTTAGCGGCACGAATTCTGTAAATTGAGCCGGCCTGGGACACGACCGACGCTCGGCGGCGCGGTTTCTAGGCCCCTAGATTAAGTCGACTATATTAAGTCGACCGAAGACTCGACCGGAACTCAGCGGCTCGGTTCATAGCCTTACAGGTTAGGTTGACAAGCGGCTCGACCGGAACTCAGTGGCCCGGTTCATGGCCATATAGGTTAGGTCGACAAGAGGCTCGACCGGAACTCAGCGGCCCGGTTCATGGCCTCAACCACCCTGGTATTGTCGACAAGAGACTCGACCGGAACTCAGCGGCCCGGTTCATGGTCTCTCAAGTTGGGATCAAGTCGACAAGAGACTCGACCGACGCTCAGCGGCGCGGTTCTTGGTCTCTTGGCTAGATCGACTCAGGATCTGCTCGACTAACCCGATTTTAAAGCAAAGTCCTGCTCACCCATTGGCGGTGCGATTTCCTCCTGCGTAGTGACACGTGAAGAGGATTCCTCCGTGTCCGGAAGACTCGCAGAGCTGGTGCTTGGTAGATGTGCCATTCTTTGTAGAATGGCCGTCATTCCCCGTTCGAGGGAATCGATACGCTTTCCAAACATATTATCCACCGAAGAGCGTCTGGATTCACGCGATGTATCGCGTGATCTACTTCTAGAGCGCCTCTTCTTTCGATGACGTCGCGAATAAATTCGCGAGCCTTCCCGGGAATCTTCTCTGGAACGTTTCTTCATATCACGAAATTTCTGCTTGTGCTCGGGACCGCAACAAGAAACACAATGAAATGGCGAGCGACGCGCGCGCCGAGGGCTCCCTCTGTCTAGGGTTTTTAGTTTTAGAGGGAGCTTTAAACTGCTTGTTGCAAGGGGTTGGATGAGATCACAACTACACTTGTCTACACTTGTCTACTCGGACGAAAGTTGTTAGCATAATC